CCTAACTGGAAAGTATGGAGAAGACTCTAAGCTTATCTATGACCTAAAGGACCAGGGTGGGGAGTTGCTGTCCCTTCGTTATGACCTCACTGTTCCTTTTGCTCGGTATTTAGCAATGAATAAACTGACCAACATTAAACGCTACCATATAGCAAAGGTGTATCGGCGGGATAATCCAGCCATGACCCGTGGCCAATACCAGGAATTCTACCAGTGTGATTTTGACATTGCTGGGCAATTTGACCCTATGGTCCCTGATGCAGAGTGCTTGAAGATCATGTGTGAGATCCTGAGTTCACTTCAGATAGGAGACTTCCTGGTCAAGGTCAATGACCGATGCATCCTAGATGGCATGTTCGCTATTTGTGGTGTTCCAGATAGCAAGTTCCGTACCATCTGTTCCTCAGTGGACAAGCTGGACAAGGTATCCTGGGAGGATGTCAAGAATGAGATGGTGGGAGAGAAGGGCCTTGCACCTGAAGTGGCTGACCGCATTGGAGACTATGTCCAGCAACATGGCGGTGTGTCTCTGGTGAAGCAACTGCTCCAGGATCCTAAACTATCCCAAAACAAGCAAGCCTTGGAAGGCCTGGGAGATCTGAAGCTGCTGTTTGAGTATCTGACATTGTTTGGCATTGCTGACAAGATCTCTTTCGATCTGAGCCTTGCTCGAGGTCTAGACTACTATACAGGGGTGATCTATGAAACTGTGCTACTACAGATCCCAGCCCAGGCAGGGGAAGAGCCCCTTGGTGTGGGCAGTGTGGCTGCTGGAGGGCGCTATGATGGGCTGGTGGGCATGTTTGACCCCAAAGGGCGCAAGGGACCCTGTGTGGGGCTCAGCATTGGAGTGGAGCGAATCTTCTCCATCGTGGAGCAGAGACTAGAGGCTTCAGAGGAGAAGGTACGGACCACAGAAACACAGGTGCTTGTGGCATCTGCACAGAAGAAGCTATTGGAAAAGAGACTGAAGCTTGTCTCAGAGCTGTGGGATGCTGGTATCAAGGCTGAGCTGCTCTACAAGAAGAACCCAAAGTTACTGAACCAGTTGCAGTACTGTGAGGAAGCAAGCATCCCCCTGGTGACCATAATCGGTGAACAGGAGCTCAAGGATGGGGTCGTCAAGCTGCGTTTGGTGGCCAGCAGGGAAGAGGTGGATGTCCAAAGAGAAGACCTTGTGGAACAAATTAAAAGAAGAACAAGCCAGCCTCTCTGCATCTGCTGAGCCAAGCAAACTTATCAGAGGAAGGTGGGACTGACACTATTTGAGGCTAAAGCTGCATTTGTGCTTAAACAGTTTTGCACACTTTTATTCCCAAGAAGACCTGAAGAGTGGTCAGAACAGAGACTTTATTTTTATTATGATTGGCAGATGACTGGATACTACATCACTTTCTACAGAGCGCCATGGGGCGCCATGGGGAATTAAGCCAGACCACCTCAGGCCTGACATGGGCTCCACAGGGCACCGTTCCAGATGGAACTGATGCCTTCCTGCCACACCTGGTGCCAAAAGTCTAATAAAATGCCTGAACCATTAAAAAAAAGAAAGAAAATGAGCAATGTGCAGCTGAATAAAATGTATGTCCAGCTGTCATTGTGCGGAAAATTCTGTGTATGTCCACTAAGTCCATTTTCTTGAAGATCTGCTTCAGTTCTGCTACTTCTCTGCTTTTTTTTCTCCTTGACCTGTCTTTTTGGGATAAGGGGTGTTTAGTTCTCCAGTTAAAATTGTGGTGTTGGATATTAGATTTTTCATTTCCATTAAGATTTGTCTTATATAGTTGTGTTCTCCCGTGTTTGGTGCGTAAATATTTATGAGTGTTACTTCTTCCTCTTGAATTTTTCCCCTAACCAGTATATAGTGGCCTTCTTTATTTCATTTGATCATTCTTGGTTTGAAGTTGAGAGTGTCTGAGAGCAGGATTGCTATCCTTGATTTTTCTGAGGTTCTGGGGCATGTGGTATTGTTTTCTGCCTTTTGACTTTCATGCTCTGAATTTCTTTATGAGTTAAATGTGTTTCATGTATACAGCACATTGTTGGATTTTATTTCCTAATCCACTGTGCCAGCATATTTCTTTTAATTTGTGATATAAGTCCATTTCCATTGATAGTTATGTTGAGGGGTATTGATTTATGATCTACATATTATTTACCAGCAGCTGTTTATGCCTTTTTTCCTGTTTTTAATTGTTTTCCCTATTTAGTGGGTTCCTTCTGTTCTCATTCATGAAGATATGATCATTTTGATCCCCGTTTTAGCGGTCTATTAAGAGTTAGCTTTAAAGGTACTGGAGAGATAGTTCAGAGGTTAAGTGCTTCCTTGGCAAGCACAAGGGCCTGAGTTCAATCCCTGGTTCCAAAACAAAGAGTTGGGCCTGGTCATCATGAAATTCTTTACATGTTCTTTGTCCTGGAAGTATTTCACTCCTCCATCATACTTGAAAGAGAGATTTTCAGGGCATAGTATTCTGATCCAGAATTATTTTTCATAGATGACTTCAAGTTCTCTGCTCTATGCTCATTTTACCTTCATGTTTTTTGAAAAGAAGTCTGCCATTACTCTGATGGGTTTTGCTTTATTTTTTTCATAATTTTATTGATAAACAGATAGCAATGGGACAGTTTCAAATCAAATCAGTAGGACAGTTTCAATAACCAACACACTGCATATATTCTTCTTAGTGGTTAATTGCTATACAAGATGCTGACCTGAGATCCTATTTACAAACACCATTAGAACAAATCATTCTATTCATTAAGAGAATGTAACTATATATCTATCCCAACTACTTTAAATACACAGAGGCTTTCAGTATATTGTTCTTGGGCTGGATTTCTGTGATCCTGACTATTATATGTCTCAGTGTATTTTTAGTTGGATTGAAGTTATTTGGAGTTCTGTATGCTTCAGTTACTGAATGTCAGTTTGTTTCATTATATTTGTAAGTTTTCTGCTACTACTTCTGCCCATATTCTTTTTATGTCATTTGTTTTGACTCCTTCTTTCTCATTGATGCCTAGTAACCTCACATTGTTCATCTTTACATCATCTTGCAGGTGCTGAATTTTTTTCTGCATTCTAGTTGTTCTTAAGAGATATTTTCTTACCTTTTCACTAGCTGTAACAGCATCTTCCAGATCTTGGTCTTTCTTCACTTTCACTCAAATGGTTTTGCAATCTTGTGATTGAAATTTTAATTTCCTCTTGTCTCTTTGACTCTGCTTCATGCGAACTATTTCTTTCTTGTATTGCTCATTGAAGTTATCAGTTGTTTTTCTACTCTCCTTTAATTTTTTTTACCAGTGTCTTCTTGAGAAGCAGTTATTTATTCTTTTACTTCAGAGATTATTTCTGATCTGATTTCCTCTATATATTTCTGCATTTGATTCTTTCCTTCAGACACTATTAATTCAGAGATATCTTTTTAATTTCAGAGATTATTTCTGATCTGAGTTCCTCTATACCTTTCTGCTGTTGTTTCTTTACTTCAGACGCTGTTTAACACAGACATTTTAGCTGTGCTAGTGTCCACTGCACTTGTTCTGGATTGGCTCAGGATCAGAGATTGCATTTTAATCTTTCTCTTTGTAATTTTGTATAGCACTGTCCTCTGACCTGTGGTGTAAAGCTTTCATACAGTTATAACCTTAACACCTACTAAAATTCAAGTGCAGATCTACTAAGTTTGAGTTCATCCCATTGTGCTGGGCTTCAGTCTGGCTACTGTGCTCAGCTTCTTCCTTCTGCAGCCCTTGGAGGTAAACCTTTTGTTCTCCTCTGGGAAAACGTTCTGCTCCTGGATTAGCTGAGTAGTTTTGGCCCCATTCTCTCTGCAGGTACTTCATCTGCACTGTTTCACTCCAGGCCTCTATGCCAAGCCTGCGCCGGTTCTGGAGGTGTCCAGTGCTCACAGGACAGCACAGAAGCTCTCCCACACACTCACCAGGCCTGAGCTTGAGTGGGTCTGGTCGGGTCCCGAGAGTGTGGTGGAAGTTCTCACTCACAAAGTTGGCTTGGGCTGGCTCTGGAGGGGTGGAGGAGCCTGGAGAGCACAGTGAATGCTCTCACTCATTTAGCGGAAGTTGGTGTGTAGCAGAGAGGTCCAATAAGTTAAGGGGTGCCCAGAAGCTCTCCCACACACTTGCAGGGCCTGGGCTTGGGCGGGCCTTCTGACAACTTTTATATCTAGTGGATTTGTATTATAGACACTAAGAGTAAGTGTTATGTCTTATAGCTAAGCACATTATATATTGGAAATATGTGTTTAATTTAGTTCTCCTAAGTGAAATCTGATCACCTCCGCTTGATATACCTGGGGTCTTCCAGGCAGACTAGTTCACCTCGCTTACCTTCTGCCCCATTTCTTGGTCAAGAGTGAAAGATGGAGTATGGTCTCACAGATCTGGGTCTAGCAAATTCTTTCAGCTTCCCAGGTGAGGATCTATGAGCTTTGAGCTCATTCCAATGTGTCTGGCATGGGTCTGGCTGCTGTACTCAGCTTCTTCTTGCTGGAGCCCTTGGAAATGAAGCCGCGGTACACCTTTGGTTAGATGTTTTTCTCCTGGATTAGCTGGATAATTTTGGCAGCTAGACTATCTGCAGGGACTTCAGCCTCAGAGTTTCACACCAGGCTTGTATGCAGGGCTTGGACTGGGTCTGGATGATTTCTGAGAGCATGGTGTAGCTGTCACTCACATGCTGGGTCTGGGCTTGGGCTGGATGGTTTCAGCAGATGTAGCGGAGTGGAAGTTCTCAAACTCACACATGAAATTCTTTAGCTGTTTTTTTGTCATGAAAGTGTTTCCCCTGTCCATGAAATCTGAAAGAGTTTTGCAGTTTATGGTACTCTGGGCTGTAATTTGTTTTCTTGTAGGACTTGAAGTACTTTGCTCCATTTTTTTCTAGATTTGATGTTTTGTGATGAGATATCTGCCGTTGTTCTGATGGGTTTTCCTTTAAATGTAACCTTTTTCTTCTCTCTAGTTGCTTTTAGTATACTTTTCTTGCACTGGATTTCTGGGATCTTGATAATTATATGTCTGGGTGTGGTTTTAATTGTGTTGATGTTATTTGGAGTTTTATATGCTTCAGTTACCTGAATGTCTGATTGTTTCCCCCTATTTGCGAAGTGTTCTGCTATTATGTCTGCCTTTAATCTTTTTATATCATTTGTATTGACTCCTTCTTTCTCACTGATGCCCACTAGTCTCACGTTGTTCATCTTTGCATCGTCTTGCAGATGTTGAATCATTTTTTCTTGCATCCTGGTTGTTTCTTAGATATCTTTTCATGCCTTTTTACCAGCTGCAATGGTGTCTTTGAAATCTGAAACTCTAACTTCACTTTCATCCAAATGGTTTTGCAAGTTTGTGATTGCAGTGTTATTTTCCTGTATATCTCTTTGAATTTCCTTCATGGTTTCTATTTTTTTCTATATTGTTCATTCAAGGATTCCATCATTTTTCTGTTTTCCTCTATTTTTTAATCAATGTGTTCTTTCGAAGCACTTAGTAAACTTTTCACTATAGTTATCATTTCTTTTTTTACTTCAGAGTTTATTGCTGATCTGATTTCCTCTATAACTTACTTTAGACACTAGTAATTCAGAGATTTCGGCTGTATGATTCCCAATTTCTTCTATTTAAGTGTCTCATGCAATTTTTCTGGGTGGGCTTTGTGCCTGAGAATTGTGCTCCTTCTCTTTGTTATTTTGTATAGCACTGCCCTGTGACCTTTGTTGTAGAGCTTTGGTGCAGTTATAACCTTAGCACTGACTGAAATTCTTACCCAAAATAAAAATGATGTGGTTAAGGCAGTAAAAGTTTTGTATTTATTGAACTACAATTAGGAACACTAATTATGGATAACGATATTTAGCAGTTGACAAACTTTTATAAGTAATAGATTTGCATTTCATTTATTTATTTATTTATTTATTTACTTATTATTATTTTGTTTTTTGTATTTAAGGAAGTGTCTTCAGCGTATTCTGGGCCACACTACTAGATCAGACTATTGGCCTGTTTATAGCCTCTCAACACCTGGGATTATAGGGACGCACCACCATACACAGTCTGAATTGCAGTCACAGTGCACCCTGGAGGTTGAGCCGGCACAACAGGAGCACAGATCAAATCCCATACACTTTTCCCTGCTTGCAGGCACTTTAATCTGCTGAGGCTTTTCTCCAGCATTTTGATTTATATTTTAGACAGTAAGAGCAAACATTATGTCTGTGTAGCTAAGCAGATATTAAACTGGGAATTTGTATTTAAATTAATTCCCCTAAGTTCAATCTGATCACCACCCCTTGATGTTCCTGAGGTCTTTCAGGCAGAGCAGCTCACCCTGGTTATCTGCTGCACCCTCTCTAGACCATGAGATACAGAGAGAGGATGCTCTCATAGATCTTGGTCTAACAAAGTGTTTCAGCTTACCAGCCTGATCTAACAAGTTTGAACTCATCCAGTAGTGCCTGGCTTGGGTTTG